TCTACCTTCATGCTCGCTGTAGTATTTTTCCAGTCACACAGGCTCAGATCATGAGAGCTGTATTCTAGTTTTTATTTCTTCCTTCCTCTCTGCAAACCAATAATCCAGCTCTAATGAATCAAGCTCAAAAAACTTTTTCATATTCATACCTGGGGTTTGATTTTCTATTTTAAAACTCTTATTTTTAAACTGTCATTTCAGTTACTGTAGCACTCTATTAACTAGTCTTTCGGTAGTCAGTCTCTTCCCATAAAGCTTACACATGACCATAAAACATCACAAAAATCTTTAACACACATTGCAGTTTATATAAAAAATACCTAAGCTGCTTCTTAGAACATTGATTATTATCAATTATGATCAATAATCTGCCCTCTTTCTGTAGGACAAATTTGACCACCACTACACCTCTCCATGTACTTCATTCATACCAGATTCCAAAGTGTGGCCAGAAAATGCATTCACATTTCTAAAGTTTCATTTACATGATATGCAAAATGGTCTCATCATAGCAGTTTCTCCTGCTGAAAAACATCCTTTCAGGCCAAGTTCAAGTGCCACTTTTATTAAGAAATTTTGTCCTATCCTTCAGCAGATACTGTTCCATTAGCTGGACCTAATCTCTTTCTTCCCTGACACTCAAAATGTTATATTGTGGTATTATGGCACCTAACCCAGTATAGTTCTATTTTGTGTGTCTCCCTTACTATATCACAAGATTAGTACAGTCAGTGCCTGCTTCTTATATCTTTTTTTTATCCTGAATATTACCTAGCACCACATCAAGTACCTATGTGCTTTTAAGCTTACTGTTGAAACATGACTGATTGAATAAATGAATGATCAAACAGTTGATCATCCATAAATGTTACTATCAAGTAGTAAAATTCTATGACAAGTACTTAGATAAAATCTTCTGATATTTACTTTAAAAACAAGGGAATAGTTACAATACTTTCATTTTTTTACAATACTTTAAAGCCATTTATTGTGTGATTACAGGAAAAATAATTTCAAAATGACAGATTTTCTCATTTACAAGCTTATTACAATAATGACTGAGTTCTTTCTATGAAAGAAAACATGTTATTTCTATTTGATTGTCATGTCTGTTGGCTCCTTATCATATTTCCTTTCATAATCAAAGAAAGAAAGACAAATTAAAAGGCATACCCAGGGCATAATCATGAATGCTGCAGGCTTAGTGACCTCTACTTGTGGACAAAAAATGTTTCTCTAGCAGACCAAGAGGAAAATTTCCTCAGAGCATCATTCCATTTAGTATGTCACTTAGCTTTTGCAGTCAGTAGAAACACATTCAAATGCTTAAGAAACAATTGCAAGAACATAAAAATATTTTATTTATTTAGGAACCAAGGCTCTTTTTTTTTAAGATTTTATTTATTTGAAAGAGAGAGACTGCAAGTGGTAGGGAGGGCAGAGGGGGACGGAGAGGAAGGGGGAAAGAATCTCAGGCAGACTCCAGGTTGAGCTTGGAGCACAGGGGCAGGGCTCGATCTCAGGCCCCTGGGATCATGATCTGAGCCAAAACCAAGAGTTGGTGGCTTAACCTATTGAGCCACCCATGTGTCCCTAGGAACCCAGGTTTTAAAATTACTTCCTTGCATCAATCTAATGCCTTTTTGTGATTGCAATTGTTTTTAGTTTTGCATGCCAAAGGCCATAGCGGTGAACCATCACATTTCAGCTCCATGTGCCATTAGATTGGCACTTGTTATTTACCCAGAAAATAACTAGAAGTGTTAGCTTGACATTTTGTCATTAATATATCTATTTTTTAAAAGAAGCATGTCATGTACATATTTTAATTTTTCAGTTGCATAGTGTTAACTCATTTTACTTAAAAGGAAGTGATAAGTAATTTGGATCTAAATGATTTACTTAATTATGAATGCCTAGGAATTTCTATATTTCTTCCATTGCCAAGAAAGAGAATTTTACCACTGTCTTTGTGTTAGGTTAAGCTTAAGTATTTTCCTATCAGAATACATTAAGTTACTTCAGCTAAAGAAATTAGAGATGTCAAAGGCAATTATGCTCTTCAATTGATCTTCTAGGGTAGGATTATGTTTAACTGGGCATCTAACTGTAGGTAACCCAAACACCATATTTATTGGTTAAACTCCTCCTAAATTACATTTCAGAAAATGTAAAGCAAGTGCCCAGACCTTTGAATTAAATTAAAAAACTGCAGAAAACTTTGCAAAAACAGACCCACAACGTCATCCCTCCTAAGTATCTCAGAAACAGCCTCTTACAAGGATGTAGTCAGCTTGCAACTCCTCACGATAATATTCAAGCTGATAGATCAGTTGGAAGCTCTTCATTACGGCAGCTGTTGTGTGTTTATAGCTACATATGCAGACTGCCGAACACCCTCAGTGCACCATAAACGTAGGAATTACACATCCAGAATGGTAATAAACTCATTGGGTGATGTGCTCTCCAGAGTTTTCAGCCCCTTTGCTCCAGTTGGCAAAACTCTGCTAGATTTTAGTTGCTGTAGAAAAATATTAGATTGTTGTGGTTTTTGTAAGTTTGGAGACAAACCAGAAACATATAAAACAGCAATAAAAAAGGTAAAAACATAGGCACTGAGATTATTATTATTTTAAAATTACAGTCTCATAGAGAGTTATAAGAGAAGCCACAGAAGAATAAATGAGAAAAATAAGTAAATAAGTGGCTGTGTTCCATAGAAGGTTAGCCTCAAATGCTCTCTGTGGGTCAGCTCAGCTGTGTGGGACATCCTGCAGAAGCTACAGATCATACTAAGAAAGCTGCAGGCTATTAATTAGAAGTATATTTCCTACCATAATAATCTGAGAGTACTGATAAATTATAGCTAATAGATGAGCAATTTATTGTTAAACAGTACTTCCTAGAAAACCAATCCAATTTAGAACAAGCTGATTTCTCTCTTAAAAGCAGGATCTCAAATAAAATTGATTTCTAAATTCATAATAGCGAAAAGGATATTCTCAGGCTTATAAGGAAATAAGTTCCATGTACAAGAAGATGATCAGAATGTACAATGATGCCTGGCTGCAAGAGGGTTGTTAAGCATTGGTAAAGTCACACCCGCTTATCCCAGCAGCAAGCACTGTGTACTATATTCATCAGTCACTGCTCTTGGACAGATACTTATGGAGTTCTATGCACAAGTATATATAAAATCATTGGGAGAGCTTCCATAAATGCATATCCCTGGGTACCAACACAAGATATCCAATCACATAGGTCTCTTCTTTCATTAAATGTTTAGAACAGCTTTCAGAAATGACCATGACCAAAAATCACGTGAAAGTTTCTGAAGAACCATAATAAAGGCAGAAAAATCAGAAACATGGAGGTGCATAATGGTAGGTGGTGTAATGGAACCCTCATAAAGCCATATGACATGGGACAAAGGAAATCTCTTAGTGTCTACAAACATTCCAGCTTAAAGAGTGTTTTCTCCTTTCTCACTGTTTCTTCCCACTCCCTCCCTCTTAATGAAAATTGTTATTATGCCATTTTACAACTGGACTCTGTGGCTATGGTCTATTATTTTTTTCTCATTTCATGGCACTGTTCATTTGCCTTCATGCTTACTGATGAGTCTCTGCCAGGGGGCTGCTCCTGATGGCATGCTGGCTAGCATGAAAAGCCTGGCAAGGGAAAAAAATGACCAAGCAAATTTTACTATCAGTGTTTTATTTAGAACTTGAAATGGATACAGCAATGCGTAAGCCTGCATTATGATCTTAATCCTTAACACTGAAAAAATTATGTATTATTTGAAATAATAATAATTCCATGGATTAAAAAATATATTTTCCCATAGACTCCTTCATCTGCTCCTCAAACCAATTATATGATTTCTGTAAAAGATGCCCATGGTACTGCTTGGCAAGAAAAGATATGAAACACAGAGGTTTAAGGCACGTACATTTTTTGACATAAGGTAAGATGAGAAATTTCATGCCAGTTAAGACCTAGGCAAAGACTATCTAACTAAATAGAATTACACTTACAAGTCATAGAATTTCACAGTGACTGAGTTTCCTCACTTATAAAATGGGGGAAAATAACACCTATTCCCCTTGTCTTGCTGGCTTGTTCAGGTGGGTGAAAAACATATACAACAATGTATATGTTACAATTATTTGTACTAAAATTCCTCATTTTTAAAGGACTGTTTAAAAAAATTAACGCTGCTAATGGGGAAAATTGAGGAATTTTTGGATGGTTCAGTTACCTTTAGAACTTCAAGGATCCGTGTCAGTGTGGCGCTCCTCACCTTTATTTAGCTTCTTATTTCTTTTGGTGCTTTATGGCTCAGAAGCAAACCATTCTGGTTGTGACCTTGCAGTAGAAGTAGCACAACTCATGTGTAGCATTATGGAACATCTTTATTACAATATCCATTAATGCTCAATAAATAAGAGGGGCATGGTAGGACAGTTGCTTAAGGGAACTTATTCCAGGACAGACTTACTGCTAGTTGCACTCAAATTATGAAATAGTCAAATTTCCCCAGGTGCCTAATTTCCTTCCTTCCAACCCATGATTAATAATGCTGAGACTCCAGGGTGATAAAAATAACTCAGAACTTTATTCAAGCACAGTTTAAACTAGAAATTAGAACTAGAGTTTGCATCTCAAACCCAGACCTCAGAGAAGTGTTGATGTTCCATAAAGGTGAGGACCCATGTAAAAGGAAAAAATTATTAGCAGAAAAGAAGCTGAAGATTCTAGGTAAAAATAAGGATATGCTCAGCTGGTTGTCACTTCATGCTCCTTGCTTTTTCAAAGGAACGAAAACAAAGAAGATCTTTAGTATTCCTACTGCAAGAGAATGTGAAATTTGGAAAAAAGGAGAAAAGATTAAGAAAGGAAATGAAAACTGTTGTGGAAATGGAAGAATATGATTTAGTCAAATAGAGAAGCAAAGAGAAAAGAGAGAGGGGGAGGTAAAGCTGGGTCAGATAACTCACTTGGCATTCCCTGCCCCTGGCTTCTTTCTTCGGAAAATGTTGAGGAAAGTGTTGGAGCGGCAGGGCAGCTTGCCATCGCCAACATGCATGCGGACTACGTCAGAGGTGGTGAAGGCACTGCGGACATTCCTCTCAGGCTTGGCAATAATGATGTACATCTTGGGAGTGAACATGCACCCCAGGGCCACCGTTACGCTGAGGCTCACTGCAAAGCAGGTGGTGATGATCTTGTAGTTGCTCCCAAAGTAAATGGGCACAAAAGCTAGCCAGATGATGCAGGTGGTGTACATGGTGAAGGCAATATATTTGGCCTCATTGAAGTTGGCGGGCACATTGCGGGTCTTGAAGGCATAATAGGTACAGCTCATGATGAGGAGTCCATTGTAGCCCAGAGGGGCCACCACACCCAGGTTGCTGGTATTGCAGATAAGGTAGACTTCCTTGATACTTGGGTAGGACAGGATGGGCATGGGGGGCTCCATGATGATCAAGGTTACCACCAGGGTTAGCTGCACACTAATCAGAATTGAGGCAATGATCACTTGGGCCCAGGCACTCATGAACCTGGGCTTCCGGGTGCAGATCTTCTTCTTGCTGCCAGCTAGGATGCGTGCAATTCGGTTGGTTTTGGTCACTAAAGCAGAGTAGCACATGGCAGAGGAGAGGCCAACCAGAAGGCGCTGGAGGTAGCAGGATGTGGTGGTAGGTTTGGCAATGAGAGTAAAAGGGCACACATAACCAAGGAAGATGCCAGCTAGGATAATGTAGCAGAGCTCCCGACTGGAGGATTTGACCACTGGTGTGTCTCGGTACAGCACAAAGATGAGGGTAACAAACAAGGTGACAAGTATGCCCAGACAGGAAAAGGCGATGGCTATGATGGATTCTATGTTGCTCCACTCAAGATAGCGCACAGGAATAGGTTCACAGCCTGTAATGAGAAAAATAGTTTTAATTATTTTTTAATTTTTTCTTTCCAAGCAGGCTTCATACCCAGCATGGAGCCAAGTGTGGGTTTTGAACTCACCACCCTGAGATCAAGACCTGAGCTGAGATCAAGATTCAGATGCTTAACGTACTGAGCCACCCCACCATCCCAAGAAAAATAGTTTTAAAATCCAAGATTTCTGCTGATCAATAATAACACTGCTTACTAGTTATCAGAGACATAGCTATGTTCACATCTTCCACATTTTGTGTTATTTTATTTCTTTTTTTCAAAGATTTTATTTACTTGAGAGAAAGAGTGAGAGAGCACGAGATGGGGGGAGGGTTAGAGGGAGAAGCAGACTTCCTGCTGAGTACGGAGCCTGATGCTGGACTCGATCCTGGGACTCCGGGATCATGACCTGAGCCAAAGGCAGTTGCTCAACCAACTGAGCCACCCAGGCACCCAACATTTTGTGTTATTTTAATTATTTTTTTAAATGTCTCATTATTACACTAATATATATACACCATTGTCTTATCAAGACAATCGTATTCCCAAACCTGATCTCATCACAAGACTAATGTGACATACTTGAGCCTATAAAAATAATCTTTTCTCCCAACACCAGCTCCCCTCAACAAACATGATTTCTGCAAGCCAATCAGTCAGTGTCAACCTTTGCTTCTGATAATCACCCAAGTAGGAACAGACTCAAGGCAATAAACAAGATCCAGCCATTCACAAGCACACAGTCTTAATGATCACAGTGGTCCCTCTCTCTTGTGTGTCAGGGGTTTATCTATGTCAAAGTCTCAACCTCGTCCTGGGAGAACTTCCGCTTCCTCTAAAAAGTCACATTTTAATCCTAAATCTTCTCATTTCCTTGCAAATTTTAGGAAAATGATTAGATAGATAATTTAGAATAAGAAGAACTATTATGGGGGGCTTTTGATAGAACATATTCAATGAATTAAAATATTTAAGAGGGGCTGTAAACAAAGAAAGAGATAAAATACTGAATAGTCAATACTAAACTTTTTTAGTTGGCATCCTGACCTCCCTAAATAAAATTCAAATTCCAATGTAGTCTTTGTCAAGGCCTTTATAATCTTCTGAAAGCTAGCCCTCTTTTCATTCCTTTTTCTATGCAACTTTACCTGGTTTTGTAAATGAGCTAGTCTGTCCTTAGAGTTTTTATTAGAAAAGAATGCTACATTTTATATTTCTAGAACTCAAGTCAGATCTATGGAAGTCGAATTAAAACCCTGGTCTAGAGCCAAATTAAGAGCTATAATTAATGATTTTCCTGAACTTCAGGGATACAGGCAAAATATTTTCTGTAAAATTCAGGATTTTTATTAGATGCTTATTGTCGTACACTGCAGATATGTACCAATTAACTCAATTGTTAGCCTCATGGAGTAAAATGTTTAAAAGCAGCAGATTAGAAAACAGAAGATTTAAATAACTTAGTGGTATAAAGTTTAAAAAATAGAAAATGCATTACATAAGGCAATTTTGAAAGCTTTTCTTTCAACAAAGATGCAAAATTATAAACTAAATAAAAAGATAGACTTTATGACATCTTCAAACAATTCTGAGGTAGACTCAACACCTGACAAGAAAAACTATACCTTCTCTTTTTGTAAATGGGCTCAGACCTGAATTAGGGGAACGAAACAGAAAAAAATGTTAAAATGTAAAATTACTAACTTAGAAAATATCCAATATGTGATTAGACATTTCTAAACATAGTTAAAAAGTAAATAAGCCAGAAATCAATATAGTTGTGGATCTTTAGGTAAAACAACCAAAAGAGCCTCTATTCTCTATGATCTGGGAACCTGTAGATAAGGAAACCTATAGATACTTCAAACAGAAGTGTCATTTAAAGAACCAATGTCCCACATTAGCTAAAATTCAGGACTACTACTTGAAGTCTGTCCAGTGACTTAACTCCATGGCAAACACTGGTACCCAAGAACTCCTTGTCCTTCCTCTGAACTCCCAAGGGAAGCAATACCTCTTTTTTATTGATATAGGTGTCTTTATGTCCACCAGTAATCTCACTATTAAGAGAACATCAGATAAATTGGTTTAATAAAACCATAGAAATGGTGAAAATCTTTAACAATCTTATGCCCCAACCGACAACTGGTACTTTGAGATTATTATTAGAAGGATACACTATTCTCTGTGACACAAAACCCACAATTTTAATAGGTAGGATTAACTTCTAGACAAAATGTACTATGGTTCCCTACAGATGATCAAATTATAGCTACTCTAGTCATGAAAATACCTACATTATGTATAATTAAAAAAATTATCTAAGGAATATGTTAGCCCCAGAATCCCTATGGATAAAAGACTTCACAGAAATAGGAAGATGGATTGGAACACAGCACATAAACATATTGATTATCTTTTTTTTTTTTTAAAGATTTTTATTTATTTATTTGAGAGAGCGAGAATGAGAGAGAGAGAGAGACCACATGAGGGGGGGAGGGTTGGAGGGAGAAGCAGACTCCCCACTGAGCGGGGAGCCCGATGTGGGACTCGATCCCGGGACTCCAGGATCATGACCTGAGCCGAAGGCAGTCGCTTAACCAACTGAGCCACCCAGGCGCCCTTGATTATCTTTTTAAAAAAATTTTTTATTGTTATGTTAATCACCATACATTACATCATCAGTTTTTGACATAGTGTTCCATGATTCATTGTTTGTGTATAACACCCAGTGCTCCACGCAGAATGTGCCCTCTTCAATACCCATCACCAGGCCAACCCATCCTCCCACCCCTCTCCCCTCTAGAACCCTCAGTTTGTTTCTCAGAGTCCATTGTCTCTCATGGTTCCTATGTACCTAGATTATCATAAATCTTGTTTTTTTGTGTAAATATGAAAATGATACACCATAATCTAGATGTATTAACTCAACAGCATAGCACATAACAAAGAACCATTGCTCATTGTGGTAGGCTCACTGTAAAAAAAAGGTACTGTAAAAGTTATAGATACTATAAAAATACTTAGAAATATAATAGAAATATTTTAGAGATTATCCTGCTAAGCAGACTGCTCTGACTAAAAATCCTAACAAAAGTATCTCATATAAAACAAATAATTTATGATAGTAACAAATCCATGAAGAAGTTCAAGTATTCAATTATAGATATACAAAATGTGGCCAGAAAAGAAGTTCTTAAAAGAAATTCCAGAAATTTCATGACTGTGTTGTAAGATTCATGAAGATAATGTCTGACAAAACCAGAATGGCTATCTGAGAGTACCAGATAAAATATCTACCAGGCATTGGCTAAAATCCTGATGGAACAAATGAAAGAATTCATTTCAGTAGGGACACACTGGCCACAAAATTAAACACTATTGGGGAAACATTTCCAGGATAGCAGATGTGGCCAGTTCATGCTTCATTTGTAATTAAATCAATTAGGACAAATTGTAAAGGTGGAGGCATTAACTGAAACAATTGCAAAAGAACCTCTGAGTTACTCCAAAGGGACTGTATACAGTTTTCTCCCTCTATGGTTTGTGAATATGTACTAGTTTAAACAGTGTGTTTATTTTGCAGATGGGTTGAAGCATTCTGTTGAAAAGCCACAATACTTACAAAGGCTAAAATATGATTAGATTTTGTGGTCTTAGCACATTCCAAGTGGTCAATCTAGTGATATGGGAACATTTTCAGTGGAACACTTATTCATGAATTTAAATTATGCAAGGCTGTCTTCATTCCCAGCCCTCTGGACAAATGAAAAGGAACCTTTATATTGGTGAAGTTTACACCCCTTAGTGATTTTAAACTGAGGTTCTGCAGAGAGCCTCCAGAAGCTGAAAGCACATGGAAGTTGACTGTTTACTGACGAAGTTTATAGCAAGCTGATGACTATACAATGGTCTTCTGTGCAAGATCATCTGAAGAAGAGTCCTACATATATCCTATTTCCTTTGTATACTCTTTCTTACTCATACTTCTTTACTGATTTAAAACTATATAAATTTGAGTTTGTCTTTAGTGATCTCCTTACTAGTAATAAGTATTTGCCTAAACCTATGTTTTACTAGACAATCATTAACTCAAAAGTCAATTATATCAAGCTATTGTTAGGTATATCTCACACTTCCAATAATGATATTTTTGTATATGCAAAGATCCCACAAGTTCAGATATTTGAAAGGACTCAGAAGATTCATAGAACATACTCATGTAATGTTTTTTACTTAAAGGCAAAATGTATAATATAGTAAGAGAAAGACAGTGCAGGTAAGCACCAAGGGGCAAAGGGATATCCCAGTGCAAGCTCTCTAAGATCCTTACTCTCACAAGGGCACACTTCATCTTTGAACCAAGAGCTCAAGGCAGAAGTTCCCAGTGAAGTCTTTTAATGACTTTTGGCCAAATAAGCCTATCTAATATGCCAGCTGAAATCCATCAGTAAACAAACTGATTTTGGTTGTTACTAGTGGAGCTTCAAACTCGAAACTGCATATAATAAATATCAGTCCCCTTAATGTAGCCAAGAGCCAAAGAGAGGTAGGTACTCAGGCATCTCCACAGATAATCAGAGGCGTCCAAGCCTAGCTGTAAATTAAGCCTAGTCTACACAGTGTACTATACACAAATGAAGAAAAATATGCTTATGTTAGGAGATGTAAGTATTCTGTTCTGTAACAGTAGCATTATGTCAACAACATCCCAAAACAATATGCTTACAACTCTACTGTGATTGCTTTATTTCTTGTGAAGATCCTAGATTCTTTTCCTTATGGGGAAACCAGACTTTTCAATGACACTCCAGGACCACCCAAAACAGTCACCCGAGGATAGGGACTGATCATTTATTTTGAACCAGCTTTGTTTTCTCCTTCTTTTTCTTCTTTCCTTTCCTTCTTTTTTACTTTTTTTAGACATCCTAAATCTGAGAAGTGTTAGCTTTGATTCCTTGAGAGAATTTGCTGTAATATCCATATTGTCCACATATATAATATAATATGTAATGTACTTTTTTGTCCTGTATTTGAGGTTTAAAGAGTTGTCCAACCGCCAGATGTGTTTGGGTATCACAAGCCTGGAAGGAGTGGGAGTTACCGTCAAATAGTGGTAATGACTGTCCTGGCCCTACCTGACCCCCAGCAACCAAAAGCAAAAGCCTTTATGTGAGTTGTGCATACTATATCTAAAGCCTCGAAAACAGGGACCTGGCAGTATCTGTGGTTACAGTTTTCCCAGAGAATTCATAGCTATCAGACAAGTCCATTTCCCAGAGAATCCAGAGCTATCAGACTATAAATTCCTGAGCAAAATCTAAGAGAAGTAGTAATAACTCCGATCTGAGGTACAGGAAGTTACTCCTAATTTTTTAAACAAATATTGGTTCACTTGTAAGATCCAAATGCATTGGAGGAAGCGACAATTTAATACTGGGTTTTTTCCCAATTTCCCAAGACAAATTTAATATGAATCAGGAAATAAAGTCCACAGTTACTCTACCCAAAAGGTCTTTGGACATTTAATAGCAGTTACAATAATACTTCATAATCAATAAAGCATCATCAAAATGCTTTCTTTAATGTTATTACATTAATATCAATTATCTACAAGGAGAAATTCTGTTTCATGGTCAGTGTTCAACTTTAATGTCACCCCTGTCTATTTTTCATGTGAAGAGACTAAAAAAACAGGGTCGCCTGGGTGGCTCAGTCGTTAAGCGTCTGCCTTCGGCTCAGGTCGTGATCCCAGGGTCCTGGGATCGAGCCCCACATCAGGCTCCCTGCTCAGCAGGAAGCCTGCTTCTCCCTCTCCCACTCCCCCTGCTTGTGTTCCCTCTCTCGCTGTGTCTCTCTGTCAAATAAATAAATAAAATCTAAAAAAAAAAGTAGCATCAGATTACATATAATTGGTTCATAAATTGTTAAACTACTGTCAAGTTTTATATCGTGGCAGAAGAGATCCCTGTTTATGCATTGTAAGCAATAGAGTGAAATTTAAATGCTGAATTAAAATGTACATTTTCCCAAGAAGAAAATATGAGAATCTTATTAACAGCTTCAGAACGTGCTTCCTCTAAGTAGTATACCATTTTTTTCTTTATAGCCAACAAACGATATATTCTAATGAAAACAATATCACATTTATAAACATGTTTTTATTCATTAATATTAGAACCTTTGGAGCATGTATGGAAAGTAACTATCTCATAAAATAATTTTATGCATATTAACAAGCTTTACCTTCAGTAAAAAACACCATTTCCTAAAGAAGAATGATTTCTCATTTTAACTAAAATTCAGTAAAAAAAAAAAAAAACCACCTGTGAAAACAAAACACCTACTTAAAGGCTATGCACTTACTCCTCTGAGTATTTCTACTGGTTTTTGGTATTCTCTGCCTGTGGGTTTTCTCTTTTCTCAACTACTGCTACCATGACAACAACCAACAACAACACATTGCCATGTAGTGCACACTTGCTCTGAGCCTGACATGGCACCAAATGAGTGGCAAATGAGACCTCATTGTCCATTCATGTGTAAGACTGAAAGGAATCCAGAAATGACAGGTGTCATTGAAACTAAGTATAAACTAAATCAGAGATGTGTACTCCGAAAGACCCTAAACATAAGATTTGCACAATAATCAAATATATGTTCCAAAAGTAACCACTTGCCTATTGCTTTTAGAAAAGGGCAGTCTGAGTTGTTGCTTGGCTCAACTCATTTGAACGCTAACGTGACTTTTATGCATGTGAAGGATGACAGATTAAATACTTTAGAAAGATAATCACATTAAATATCTAAGTATAGTGAAAGAGGATTTTTTTTATGCTTTACTCACTCAAAGAGCCTTAAATCAATGGTGATCATCATTTGGCAGTGGGCAAAAAATATACCCACAATGGGAGATCTCTAGGGAATAAAATATATGACTTTGAGTTCCATTATTATAACATATTGGATCTTTTGAAAATGTTTTTTGTATTTTAATGTCTTAAAATAGGATAGAAGTTCTTTACCAGGTATGAGATAAGCCCCAATCAAAGTAAAAATGGAGCAGTAGGAAAAGTTTGGGGAAACCCAAAAAAATGTAGACAAGAGGAAAATTCTTACACCTCAAAGCCAGGACTTCTGATTTCTAAAATCAACCTGAGAAAGGCTAGCTTTGTCTTTGAGCCCTTTGCAGTCAGCTGTAGTCTCAGTCAAATAGCAGAGAGGACTGACTAGTAAGTCAACCCCCTATGTGATATAAAAAGGCCCAGCAGGAAGCACACAGTATGAAGGAGGATAAAGATATGAACAGAGGCATAGCATGAGTGGGAGAGAAGCCTTGTTGTCCAAAAGTGGCTGAAAAAGCTTTTCCAAGCCAGTCTATTGCATGCAACCAGGAGATAAGTTAGACCCAGGGATAAAAACCCTGGATTCTCATAGTGGCTTCTCTATTAACCAATTGCACTGACCTGGATGAACTCAGAAGTCCCTTCTTCTTTCTATTTCTCTCAATAGAACATTTAATCGACAGCTATTATATTCAAGGCACTAGACTATGAGCCAGAGATTAATTTTTCTCACAGGATACGACAGGAACCAGGTGCCTCAGAATTTGCTGGGTCCCATCTCAGAACTAGTGAACAGGAATCTCTGCAAGTGGGTAATACCTGGGTAATTTTTAAGCATATTAAAGTTGAAAACCAGTTTTCTGCGACAGAATAAAAATATGAGTGAGATACAGTTTTTACCTTCAAATGTATTCTAATCTAACTTCCTTTTCTTTAAAAAAGGTCTTTGTACTAAATAATTTCTAAAAGCTTTCTGACACTCATTTTAGATTAACTTTTTCTAACAAGATTACCATTTTACAAGTACTTTCACTGAATAAGTAAAATTTTCATTATGTGACCTGGTTCTACTTACCCAGCCATTTTTGATGTGTTCTGAATAAGTCATACAATTTTTTAGTTGCTATTCTTATTTGGGAACAGGTGAAAAAGTAAAAAACAATCAGAAATGTTTCCTAATTATTTTCAACAACACCCAGGGAGGCAGAGGATCAGGAGTCAGTGAACTGGGCTTTGCTTCTGTTTGCATGACCTTGGGCACACAAGTACACCTCTTTGGGCCTCAGCTTCCCTTTCTAAAAGGAGGGATGAGATTACTCACATGACAAAGTCTCTATGTACTCAGATGACAGTTTCTATGGCTCTATTACTCTTAAAATTTGTGAAAAGTATTTGTGAAACACCTCTCATGTGTGAGCTCATATCAGGATCCATGGAAAACAAAATTCATATATTTGAACATTGCTCTTATGAAATTTACAAACTCTTATAATCCATCCATATGATACCCATTGATTTTACTAATAAACCATCTCTTGCATTCATATACTCATCCATTCCTGCTGCAGCTGCCTTCATCCATGCCCTCTGAAATTACTCACTTGAACCAATGCAATAGTTCCTAGCTTCTATTTTTCTTCTGGTCTCACTACACTCTTCAGACTGCTAGTAGGAGCATCTTTCTGAGACACAAATATCATGGTATTATTTGCTAATTTAAATTCTTCAATGGTTCTCCTGTGCTTAAAGCCACAGTCCAAACCCTCAGGAAAACGTCATGCAGAAGCTTGTTACCAACTTTACCAGTCTCATTTCTGGTCTTTGCTAGGTCCTTGTGTCTACAAACCAACCCCATACACTTATTTTGTGGTTTTCCCCAAATGTGTTACAGGCTTTCATTTTCCCATCTTCTACTTTTTCTCTGGAATTTCATCTCTTTATCTGCCTAACAAATTTTATGCACTATAAATATCTCTTTTATATTAATAACAATTTTATATTATTTTTACATGTTTCTTCCCTGATAAGTTTTAAGCAAAATAAAGTAATAAAGCAATATAAATTTAAAGCAAAAAAAAATACTGCCTCACACATAGATGTTCGAGAAATGTTTTTAAATATAAATGCAGGTAACTAGAAATATCTTCAAATAAAATTTTAAAAAAGAAAAACAGAGAACAACTGGTACACCAGAATACCCCTTTAATACACTTTTATTTAGATTTAAAAAAAAATACATGTTCATAATAAAAAGAAATTCTTTTTAAATGAACTTGCCTTTCAATATGGATCATGGAAAACTTATAAGAGGGTTCTGTGTGCTCTTTGACATGAGCAATAAAAAGTGCTCACTGTAAATAAACATCAAAAAAGACATGAGCTGCTCGCTCACATTTTAAACAATGGGCATATTGAGAAGGCCCATAGTTAGGGACAAGGTCTGAAGTGAGGCACTTCCTACCTGTTAGATCTGCACTGGGCCACCACCCCAAGTCACAGGCTTTGCAGGTGAATTCATCTTGCACGTATTCATTCTCTTTGCAGGCCGTGCAAATCCAGCAGCAACTCACTTCTCCTTTCCGTATGACCTGTAACACAGGGATAGTCCATATGCCTTAAAGACGGTCTCCCCAGAAAGTCTTCTATTTCAATATGGAGTTGTTTTCATACTACAATAAAAAAAGAATAATTCTTCAAAATATCCTATATGCCGAGGAACCTTAAGTACATGCATTCGAATATACCTGATTATCTTTAGAGTTCAGATGTGAATTTCAATTCATTCCATGCTGGGTTTGGAGGTTTTTCAAAAATAATGTCTTTCATAAAGGGAATTGATGACATTATCTTTTTCAGAGTTAAAAAAAATGAAACCATTGAATTGGATTATTTATACTCATTTGTATTATCCCCAGAAAAATAAAAAGAAGTTTTTCTTCTCTGAAAGAGCAATGTTTAACCACAAAAGTTCTTATGTAATATTTTCTCATTAATTCGTAAAATCTGAGGAATTATGGAATTTTATAATTATGAAAGTCTGAGCAACTTTATATACATAAAAACAGAAGGATGGCTAAGAAAGTCAACCCTATTATTGGCCCTGTGACTTGCTCTGGTGAACTTAAAACATTATGTAACTTGTTGGAAGAAAAATTACTAGTCCAAAATTACTGAAGAATCATACATTATTGGAGTAGTTTAAACTTTCTCCCATTTTCAATCTGTTTGTTAAGCATATTTCGCTTGACCGGATACCAAAAAAAGTCAAAACATTTAAAGTGATTTTCTTGTAAGCAGCATGTATTAGATCTTGTGTTCATCTCCAGTCTGAGAACTTTTGCCTTTTATTGAAGTGTTTCATACATTTACATTTAGTATAATCATTGGTGTGGTTGGAAATGAAAATTTAACCAGATGCTGGACATTGTGTACATAAGGTATAGTGTGCTGGATGTTTCTCCTTGAAGAAGTATTGGCCTTTGTTCCGGCAGGCAGCTGACTGCTTGTGAGCATTGTTTTTAATCTTTTAGGACAAGTCTAGAAGAGTCTCTACTCTAGGAATAATTAAGCCTCATTATTAAGGTGTGACCACCTGGGGTTTCTACTTAATTCCTTGTGTATTCAACAAGGTATCTCCACTCCGGCTTGTGGAAAATGAGACCATTCTTGGATCTGCGTAAGTTCAGGGATTCCAGCTCCCCAGTAATTTTTTTTTTCACCTGAACTTTTTGAATTCTGCCCTATTCATGTGCAGACTTGTGTTCAGTCAAATGCTTAAGAGAACCTGTATGCTAACTTCTAGGACATTTTTTCTGAATCGTTCTATCCCTTACACTACACAACAAATTCTCACTGCCATGGCCTTCCTAAACTTTGATTTCTGTCTTCTTAAATTATCAAGATCACCAAGCTCTGTGTTCTCTTTCACTGAACAACAATAAGGAAATTGCCTCCAGGCAGAAAGCCTGAGTGATTTTAGGGTTCACCTTATTTATTTGCCTTCACTTCCCTGGAATCAAGGTCATGCACTGTTTTCCAATGTTTGAACACAGTAATTTCATATATTATGTCAAGTTTTGTAGTTGTTTACACCAAAAGGCAGTCTGGGCTCTGTTACGCTTTCATGGCTAGAAGCACAAGTTCTTCCCTAATACATTAAACATTATTAAATGTTTTCATATGCAAAATCAGAAATTAAATTTTAAACATTGCCATACCTTAAAATCATACAAACTTTAGACTTTGTGAAAATAAAAACTATCTTCTCACAGAGTAGGTCAAAATTTATACCCTTATCTTTGAATTACATATAAAATATCAAATGACAGTATATTTTCAGAAAATGTAAAAGGTTTTCTTTTTTTTCTTTTACTTTCAGATAACTTCAGAAAGTAAAATCAAATTAAGTCTTTTTTAAAAAACTCCCTGCAACCTCAAAATAAGCATGGGAAATTTACATTCCAGATAATAATTTTTTAAGTGATATGAGAAAAATTGAGTAAATGAATACGGCTTTCTTATTTTAATTGGCATAAAAGTACAGTAAAAGCCATCACAAAATACTGTATCTCCCATTAGTCAGCTTTGTCTCTTTCTCTTTACTATAAAAATAATGCTACTAATTCAACACATTTAAAAGGTGGTAATGCTGAACAAACTGATTTATGCAGGATGAATACTGAGGGTAGATCCTGTGAGTAACTGGCACTTGGAAAGTATTTAAAATTAGGTTTTCTATGACTGAATAAATGATTAGCCTATCCCTTTAATAAATAATGAAAATGGAGCTGCTTAAATAGAGTTATATTTTATGACTCCTTCTTTATTCTGTCACCAAGTATGTGTACTTTTGGCATACACATCTACAATATCTGGTTTGTCTTTTTTTTTTTTTTTTTAGAGAGGGTGGGGAGGGTCAGAGGGAGAGAGAAAGAATCTTAAGCAGGCTCCATGCCCAGCGCAGAGCCCAATGGGGGGCTCTTTCCCACAATCCTGAGATCATGATCTGAGCCAAAATCAAGAGTCAGATGCTTAACTGACTGAGCCACCCAGGAGCCCCTGACTTGTCTTTTCCATCTCTCAGTCACCCCTCTAGACTGCAGTTTTATTATTTTACACCTGAATTCTGGTCCTTGTCTCCTAATCATATAACATGCTCTAATTTCTTCTTGCGCTAGAGTAACATGCATACAGCTGCCACGATCACCCAAATAGGCCATGGGCTCCTCAAGAGAAGGGACCAAGCTGACTTTCATCGTTTTCAGATCATAGTCATCAAAGGACAGATATGTACCAAAAACACACAGTAGGCAGCCAATGGATGGGTACTGAAAAAATCTTTTTTAAAAAACTACAATTAGGCCACTCAAAGAACTTTAGTGCCTCCCTGCTCCAATACCTTTGCAATATAAGCTCTTCAGTCAGGCATTCACTTAGTCCCTGGTCCTTGTTTCTGCACCTTACTTTGTCTGTTATTAATTTCTTACATAAGTCTTCCAAATGAGGACAGAGCCTCTGTGCCAGCCAGCCCCTCATTGTGTCTTCATTAATGTCCACATAACTGTTTGTTTTATTTGTTTTGGAGGGAGGTTTCAAGTACAGTAGAGACATCATTGAATTTGTGTTTCATCTGACTTGCTTTCTATAAGGAGTATTCTGGCTGCTATTGGAGAACAGAGTTTATTTTTATTTGTTTATTTATTTTTTTGGAGAACGGAGTTTAAAGAGAGAGAGAGAGAAAAGAAAGAATGTGTGTGTGTGCATTTTATATGTGTGTGTTTTAATCCATGGTCCTCACATGGAACCATATAGTAAACAAATAAATATGTTTTAATGAAAGAATGACTATTACCTTCCATTTAGAATGTCATCTTTTCTCCATCAGTCCATCTGTGTCACTACTTTCAAGGGCAGATACATCACAAGCTCCAGACAGTATTTCTGAAGCAGTAAATGCTTTCAAACATTGCCTTATTTATAATTCTCTAGTAGCTAAAATACAGTTGGTCTTTTATTACTACAAGCTAGATTTTGTCCTCTAATTTTTTCATATCCATATAATAGATATGTTTCTTTCAGATACAGTTTTTTTAAATTCTTGTTATTGTCTCTAATTTATATCCAAATCTTCCCAATAGCACATTATTGATTATTTTTATATTTTCTGTATTTTTATATGAGTCATGCTTACTGATATTTCTTTTGTATGTATAGCGGCCCCTCCTGATCTATGGTCAATCTTTGTCCAGAAGCATATGATCCTCCTGACATATTATCAGGAGATCAATAGTAGCCTGACACTACATCACGGTGCCTACCTACATCATTCACCTCACTTTATCTCATCACATAGGCATTTTATCATCGCACATCATCACAGGAAGAAGGGTGAATACAGTATAATAAGATATTTTGAAAGAGAGAGAGAGACCACATTCACATAACTTTTATTACAGGATATTGTTATAATTATTACATGTCATTATTAGTTACTGCTGTTAATCTCGTACTGTACCTAATTTATAAATCGAACTTTATCATAGTTATGTTAATCTAGGAGAAAACATAGTATATATCAGGTTTGATACTATCTGTGGTTTTAGGAGGAGGGTGTCTTGGAACATATCCTCAAGTAAGAGGGGACTACTATTGTATATATTCAATAACTGAATAAAGGATTTTTTCACTTTTGTCACAAGCAAACACTTTTTATGATAGCTCTGAGTCACAATAACAGTTTTGATATTGTACTGAAACTGCCCTTGAAGGACAAGGCTTACTAAGGCCCAGAACCTGCTTTGATTCTTGTTATGTCCTGTGTACACGGTGCTGTTTATTGTTAGTGAGACCAGGTGAGCTGCTGGTACACACAATGCCATGATTCAATTACACAGACCCTGTAGGAATCTTAAAGTATTTATGCAAGGAAATCAAGTGTTCGTTTTGTGACTAAGTTTCTGAAGTAACTTGAAATGGATTTTTTAAATTAAGGTTTTATTTAGAAAAAGAATATGGGCACCCGGGTGGCTCAGTTGGTTAAGTGTCTGACTTGATTTCTGCTCAGGTCTTGATCTCAGGGTTGTGAGACAGAGCCCTTTGTCAGGCTCCAGACTCCATGGGGAGTCTTCTTGAGATTCTCTCCCGCTGCCCCTCCCTCTGCTTCTCCCCTAACATGCATGCATGCTCTCTCTCAAATAAATAAATCTTAAAAAAAAAGAATGAAAGAAAATAAATAGCACCAAGAGAATATAATGAAGGAAAGGTAACTGTGAATCAGAGGAAACAGAGAAAATTTTCTTCAGAAAAGAAACGTCTGAAAGACTAAACAGAATAAAGAAACAGAGTCTACTCTAATTAGGACTGTTGGAGAATCAGCTGCATGAGAGAAGAGTTAGCGCTGCCCTCCTCTGTTCCTACCATGTCCTGTAGGAGAGCTGGGGCAACAGTCAACTTGAATACGGATGTTTTTCTCCCACTGCACTGAGTTCCTCAAAGGAAGGGGCCATGTTTAAGTTTCCTTTGCATTCCCGGCACTAGTGAAGTACGGAAGCTGAAGGGACTCCATTTTAGAAAAACTCCATCTCTGCTG